CTTTTAAGTCATTTTCCCTATATATATGCAGAATATCATGAGATGAAGAAGCGGAAAAAGAGGAACCGGATTTTGTTGATCACCGGGATTGTATCTTTTGCTCTACTCCTATCATGCTATCTCGTAGGCAAGAAGCTGCATATTAGAAGTATGAACTTTGACTTTTTTAATCTCCCCTTAGATCCAAATATTATTTGTATATGCTGTCCATCATTACAAAAACTTGATAAAGAAACGCTCTATATATAATGGCCCCAAACCCCAATGTATACCTACAAGATACAATCAGACCCTTTGTACTTTCAATATATTAACAAGTTATAAACTGATGAAAGAACTTTGGAAGCAGTCCTACATCTTACCTCACCTTATACCCTATTCTTGTGGGGAATGGGGCATTGTTATTGTTTGTATGTTTTAAAGAGTACTGATTAAAGAGTTTTGGGATTTTAATTATGTTACAGATGAAAGAGAATATGGACTTTAAAAATAGCCATTCTAACCAAACCTTTTTTTTTTTTTTTTTTTTTTTTTTTTTTTCTATATAAACAAATTAGGGGAAACTGTTAGAGATGCCATGCTGTTTGGTTTTTTAAAAGCAAAGAAAATCCAAAAGCTGTTTCTGCATCAGTTGAGGCGCCTGTACAAAAATATACAAACTGATATGAAGATCAACCCTGAGCTGCATTATTTCACCTTTCAAAGCATCTCATCTGCCACAAACAATTTCTCAAGCGCTAATAAGCTAGGGCAGGGTGGCTTTGGAGCAGTTTATAAGGTAAACTTTCAAACACACTCTATATATAATACTTTTATTAAGAAGATTCCAGATCATATATAAAAGCTGATGCATGTGATGGATTAATTTCACAGGGAAAATTAGTTGATGGGCAGGAGGTTGCCGTGAAACGACTTTCAAGAGGCTCTGAACAAGGAATCAAGGAGTTCAAGAATGAAACTGAACTCATAGCCAAACTTCAACACACGAACCTTGTCAAGCTTATTGGGTGTTGCATTGAGAAGAAAGAGCAAATTCTTGTATATGAGTACATGCCTAATAAAAGCTTGGACTCCTTTCTATTTGGTAACATTAGATGAAACATTTGCTTCATTTTTTATATATATATATATATGATGTTGCTGTTTTTTGGTTGCTGCTACTCATTTAATTGTTAACAGATCCTAGGAAGAAAGGATTACTGGATTGGAATACCCGGTTTGTAATCATTGACGGCATTGCTCATGGACTCCTATATCTCCATAGGTTTTCAAGGCTGAGGGTTATCCATAGAGATCTGAAAGCGAGTAATATCTTGCTAGATGACTACCTTAAGCCAAAAATATCAGATTTTGGTATGGCTAAGTTATTTGGGATCAATGAGTCTGAAGCAAATACAAGTCGAGTCGTTGGAACTCGGTGAGTCCATAACCTGTGTTTTGTGAATATGAGTCCCTTACAAAAACACTTAACTAGTGACTCTTGATTGGATATACAGTGGTTATATGCCGCCGGAGTATATGTTAGATGGCTCTGTTTCAACGAAGACGGATGTGTTTGGTTTTGGTGTTTTGTTGCTTGAAATTGTAAGCAGCAAGATGAATCATGGGACCTATGATGTGGAACACCCACTCAACCTTCTAGGGCTTGTAAGTTATTTGAGTTTCTTCATTTGATTAACATCTCTATATATGATGAATTAATAAAATGTCTCAGGCATGGGAACTGTGGAATGAAGGCAGAGGTTTGGAGTTGATGGATCCAATACTGGAAGATTCATGCACTCCCAAGGAAGTAATGACGTGCATCCATGTGGGTCTGTTGTGTGTTCAAGATCATGCTATGATTAGACCCACCATGTCAGAAGTTATTTCGATGCTCACAAATGAAAATATGCATCTACCTGAACCAAAACGACCAGCTTTCTTCATTGAGAGGCATGACCCAGATTCAGCAAGAGATGATAATCTGGAAAATGGCTCCGTGAATGGGCAATCAATATCAATTTTAGTGGCGAGATAGGAGGAGAAAAAAGCATGTGTAATGCCGTTATATAATGTGTGTCACAAGCTACATGAAAAGAAGTCAGATCGGGTAGTAATACATTGTTCACAATATTAATGATTTATATATAAATTTTAAGTGTTTCAGTTCAAGGTTGTCAAGATCGGGATCTTACCTAGGATCGTTTTTGGATTTACAAGATCGGAATCGTAAGATCGGGATCGAGATCCTAAAATCCCACAAAATAGAATATAATTTTAATTTATAATATTTAATCATGAAAAATATTTCAAACATTTAATTTTTCGATCAAAAGTTATAAAAACTTCAAAATACTAGTCATAAGTCACAATAATAAATGATAAATGATAGATTGGTAAAGAGTAAAAGACATAAATGGTAAAAAAAATTCATTTGCAAAAAAAAAAAAAAAAAAAAGATGTTAGGATCGGATCGGATCTCGATCCTAAGATCCTACCTACGATCTTAACCTATTTTAAAAAAGGGAATTTTCGGATTTTAAAGGATCATTAATTCCCTTAATTTTAAAAATATAAAACTTTAAATTAATTCTAATTAAATTTTAACATTATTTTTAATAATAACCGATTTAATTATGTCAAAATGATAAAAATCAACCATAAACTAATAAATATATTTTCAGTTTTATTCTTGCAGAGTTATGATTTCATGCAAGATATTTTTTATAACATGCTTAAAGAATTAGACAACATATTATCAAGAATAAGATTTTTTAAAGAATATGAATAAATACTTTAAGAATCACTATTTACATTCATTAGTAAAGAATAAGACTATAAATAATTATTACATTCATTCGAAAAAACATGACTAATAATGGTTTAAGAATTACATTTATAGTTAAAGATTAAAACTAAAATAGTTAAAAAAGAAAAAAAACATTAAAATCTAACAAAAACGCTAATCCATTCCGAAAGAATATTGTTGTTAAAAAATAATTTATAAATTCTGACGGAATACATTCTGCTATAATAGATTATCCTTCTCTATGTTTTTTTTTTTTTCATTTTTCACATTAATGACAACTTTTTCAAAACCTAAATTCACAAAGAAAACATAATCAACTTTCAAATATTAAAAAATTTAGTGCATTAAATAAAATAAAACAATAAATTATGATAGAATGTGATATACATTCAAATAGAATATAACTATAAATTCTACAAACCAACATCAACAATCATCCCTAAACCTGCAATGTAATTTATTCTGAAAGCATGTAATGTTTCATTATTTAGGATCTCATTCTACTGAATGGAGACCAATAACAAGAATGGATACCAATTCTATTATGACAAAATTGATTACGAGATTCCATTATGTGGTGTGTTTGTTAATTTAGTGCTTAAGTTGACTTGGAATTCAAGATTCTTTTATGACAAAATTAGAATTCGATATTCCATTCTAGCAAAATGTTGCAAGGTGCATATGTACCCTGTTTTGCTTTGATATATATTGTTGTTTCAATGATCTAAACATCTCTTGTAGATTTATTTATCATCTAAGTTGTATGGCCATTTAAGAATACTGATATGTTACACTGAAATAAAAAAAAATCCATGAATGGGGTTTTTATGTGTCTAAAGAAACAAAGCCAGAATTAGAATTTAATTTGGATATGCATTGTAGTTGATTTATGTTCCATTTTAGGGGAGATTGCTATAATTACACCACCAAAATTTAATCAAATAAAACAAAAATTCAAAGTGAAATTTCCAGTAACGTCGACTCCACCACAAAGATGACGAAGATTGGTGGTGAATTACGAGCAAAGGTTGGTGGAGGCATCGACAGAGTGTTGTTGTCATCGACGAGGATGAGTTGACATAGGGAATGAGTTGTCGGAGGAAGAGTCAATATCGAAAGCATATGAAGATGAGGGCACTGGCGATCGACGATGGTATTGGGCGTCAATGATTGTCGGACTTGTGGACGGGAAACAAGGAATAACACGAGCGTTGATGATGATGAAGGGTCGGTGTTTTTGTAGGGTTAGCAAACAAATTACCCTAATTTCAAGGATATTAAATGTTTTAAAGATTTACTATAATTAAGTGTAACCAAAATTACTATTAGACAATTTTATGATTTATTATTATATTATATACTAATTTTGAACTCCTTGGTGAATAATACTTCTTTATAATTGGTTGGAAATTTTCTTTTATTTTTTCTTTTCTATTTGATAGGTTTTTTTAATCTATTTTTCCTTTTTGGTTGGTAGTGCTTTCCATGTGTTGCTCATTAAACCCACGGTCTCCGTACCCGATAGATGACTTCCACAAATCTTCCACCGCTTCACATATGCTTGCCACGAATATCTTTCGGCCGCCTATGACTTTTACTCAGGGTTTTTTCTACTTCTCTTGCAGTGCAAAATGAGAAACGGTGGAAAATGACGACGTTGAAGACCGTCGCCCGCTTTCTGTCTTCTCCGGTATGATTGGCTTTCTTTTGTGATTTTAGGGCTTAATTAATTTGTAACAGCCCGGATTCCCAGGTATTATTCATTTCTTACATTTTTAGTATTTTGTGAGGAGACTCGGCGAGTTGGAGCTCAAACTCGCCGAGTAGGATCGCGATTTGGTCAAGGATTCGCGTCTGGACTCGGCAAGTCCACGCTGTTTAATGAAACCCTAAATCCCCGGGTTTGGAACCTATTTAAGGGCACTTATAGCCTCCCATTGCAGCTACCAGTCCCTTGAGAGAACCCTAAGAGAGCTAATTCGTGTTGGGAGAGAGGAAGTCACTTTTGAGCCTTTGTATTCTTTGTTTAGCAAGAAGAAGGTGGCAAGAGCAAGGAGTAGGTGAGATTACAGCAGATCCAGGGTCCAGAGGTTTCATTTTGAGGTAAGGGTTCGAATCTCTTTCAATTATAGGGTTGATCTTTAGAGTTAGGGTTTTATACCCCCTATTTAGAGTGATTATGTGAAGCAAATGGTCCCTCTACGAGTTTGTGCCTTGGATCTGGACTCAAAGAGGTCCAGAGACCTTAACCATTGGAGCTTTTTGGGTTATTATTGAGTCATTAGACCTAGGTGGTTATTTTTGGGACAAAATATCCTTTTGATGCCTTGTGGGGGTTAACCAAGCATCAAGCTTCGAACTTTACGTGACATTCATGCTTGGGAAGGACAGATCTAGGGTTTGGGAAAGCAGATATGACCTCAGAAGGTCAATAAAAGTGTGTGCATGGCATGAACTCGCCGAATTGTTCTTGGGACTCAGCGAGTAGGGTTGGGGTTTCACGTAATATGTTCAATGAGTGGACTCGCCGGGTTGGGGGATAACCCAGTGAGTCAGGAAGAGTCAATATGGGGTTGAGTCAAGCCGGAAATCGCCGAGTTGTTCTTGAGACTCGGCGAGTTGAGTCGTAGTTGCCCTGCGATTCAAGCCAGGTGGAAACTCGTCGAGTTAGGGGAGTGCTTGTCGTGCCAAGAAAGATCCGAGGGAGTCAGTGAATGCGTTAGACTCGCCGAGTTGCTTTGGTGCACTCGCCGAGTCCGGTCAAAGTAGACCGTTGACCAGAGTTGACCAATGTTAACTTGAAAGGGTTAGTCAACCTTAGTTGTAAAAGTGTTAATTAGAGATATATTGTATTATAGGAAGATTATAGTGCGGGGGATTGAGCACGAGTGATTCCGGGGATTTGCGAGTTATTGAGATACACGAGGTGAGTCTTCTCACTATACTTTACCTTGAGTAGGTAACTAGAGTTATGTGATACAGTGCTTGTATGCTATATATATATATATATATATATATATATATTATATATATATATATATATATATATATATATATATATATGTGTGTGTGTGTGTGTTATGTGTTGCGCTGCATTATTCTTTGAGATTTATGTTGTGCATGTTATCGAGTTAGAACCTGAGGGTTCACAGAGTTTGGGTGCACGGACCCACATAGTTATAGCCTCGAGTGGCTAATATGTGTTATATGTGGTATTTTGGGGAACTCACTAAGCTTTGTGCTTACAGTGTTTGGTGTTATTTGTTTCAGGTACTAGTGACGACCGTGGGAAGGCGCCGGCTTGATCAGTACACACACACACGAGATTTTATGTTATGAGATCTTGGGATTTTTGTATGACATGAATTGTATTTCAAACATGGGTGTTTTTACGATTATTAAATGAATTATATTTTTATAAAATGCGAAAAATTGTTTTGAAGTTTACGGTGTTACAAGTTGGTATCAGAGCCTTGGTTTGAGGGATTTGGGTACACCTTCGGGAGTATTTGAACTCAAACTGAGGATTTGGAAAAAAAATATTTTCAAAAGAGAACCCAATTTTCTAAAAGAAGTAAAAGATTTTAGAGAAACTCAGAGTAGAATCGTGTGTACGATCAGTCAGCGTCCGAACGGTGATTTCCCAAAATACCCTTATATTATATGTTCATGAGATTGATATGAGGTATTCTTTTGCTAGAGTAGGCTAGGTATTCCTATTAGGACTAGAGTGCCTTGATTTGTGATGCCTTAGCCTAGGGTGAGGTGAGCTGCTATGAGATGCTTGAGAGTGAATAGGTAGCAGCGAGGAGCTTATGAGATATTTGTTAGAGAGTGATAGAGTACTTGGAAATTGGGATCCGAAGAGGAGGATTTGGGGTGTATACTGAAACGGTGTGGACAGTAGTATTGGGCCCGTACTACTGAAAGCACCGGGGCGGTGTACAGTTCAAGTAAGAACCTTCGGTATGCCAAGGATCAAGGAGGGAAGAGTTGTCGAGTGTGAGTATGCTCGAATGGATTCTAATTTATCGTATGTTGTATTTCAGAGGTAGATCATGGTGAGGACACGTCTTATGCCAGAGAGCAGTGGGGCTAGTGATGAGGAGATCTGCCGGATCATCCACGAGGAGGTGGCTGCGGCTATCAGGGCAGAGATACAAGAGATGTTCGGGTCTATTAAGACCACGCTGATTGAGACTTTTGACGAGCGTTATGCTGCTCTTTCTGAGGCTGCTGTTACAGCGGCCACTGTAGTTGTTGCTGCTGCGAGGCCGCAGGGTGGTGATGTGTTGCTATCCCGGGAGTTCGGCAACACGAAACCGTCAGAGTTTGATGGGACCCAGGACCCGGTGGCGGCTATGAGGTGGATTTCAGACATAGAGGGGTGTTTCTTCACTTGCTCATCTCCTGAGCATTTGAGAGTTTGGTTTGCGTTGAACCAGCTTTGCTCGGGAGCGAAGGACTGATGGAAGTTTGTAACAGCGCACT